GAAGTGTCTACAAAATACCGTAGATATTACATTTTTTTTTTTTGCTGACGGCGCACAGTGTACAATTTGGGAGTGTCGTTGGAAAAAATCGTAAATCTCTCGATAGGAATAAGATAAAAATATGGGTTCAAAAGCTGACATAATGAAGGGAAAAATAGTGCCAACATATATAATCATTATATTCAAATCCCAAAAAATTTCGTTGAAAATGTACTTTCGAAAAAACATAAATTCTATACCGGATAGGTCTAACAAAACAAATTTCTTTCTTGTAGATTTCTAACCGAAGAATTCAAATTTTTTTGTTAAATTTTGAAGTTTTTGTTGTAGTATTAGCCATAATTTTATAGAGTTATTTCCAAGAGGCTTCTCTGCGGGGCCCTTAAGATGGAGGAGAAAGAGAGGCAGGTCATTGAATTCTTTGGTCCTTGCTCTCTCAAGGTCTTCTTCTTCACTCTTTTCGGATTATTCAGTTTTAACTCGAATTCTATATAACTGCCACGCCAACCAACTCGCCTGTCAACCGCCCTGATTTACAAGGTCAATTAATTATGCCATTTTCGACTTAATACTACAAACTTTTATTCAAAAATATTTGCTACTCCATCGCACTCATTCACATTCTATTCTTAGCTGCCCTTCATAACCTTTCACATCCTTATAATTTTCTTTGACAAGAACTGGATAGAGTAATGAAATCCAATAGCTAGTTCATTGCCAATCAGGCCGTTTTGGCCTTTTGTTATTGTTGTTTTTTTTTTGTTTGTTTGTTTATTCTAATTGAGTTAATTTCCATAACGTAACTAATCACAGATAGAAGATGTTTAATTACACGATGGTGTGTGTGTGAAGGCCGGTCAACAAAGGAAATACTAAAAAAAAATGTTTCTAAGCATAACGCATACAAAGATGAGTGGGTGATAATGATTACCGAATTCTTTTTATATGTTGTATGTGCATATGTGTGTGCATATGTATAAAAATACATCTGAATTTGCAAACACATATGTATGTATGTACAAAAGAAAAGCAGTGAAGGTAGTAAGAAAGTAGGAAAGATTGATGGATCGAACTGAAGGATTTCAGTTCAATGCACTGCGGGCAGCTGTCATTTGCAGTTTCACCCAAGAAGAACAATGTACGCAATGAAATACATATTATTATTTATACATATGTATATGTACTCGTACATGGGTGCAATGCTTTCTTACAAAATAACAAAACAAAAAAAAGTTAATAAGGGAAACATTTCATTTCATCATTTTAAGCGATTCTCGATCCTGTAAGGTTTTTCCATAAACATATAGCAAGTAAATTGGTAAACTATATTCTTTATCTTTAGATTATGTTTTTGAGCAAAACTTTGAGAAAAAGTTCACTTTTTTTTTGATAAATAAAATTATTTTTATTTGAAAACAGAATGGGCTTTTATGGGAAGTAGTGAAAAATATTTTCACTTCACTTTTTCACAGAATAAGACTAGGCCCCTGGTCTTATAAGTAATCTAAAAAATTGTGTTTAAAATTTTTCTAGAAATCTGCGAAAAATTAAGCACCTCTAGATTAGGGACCATCTTTAGAATACGAACAGGGTATTGTTAGGCTTTAGGGAATATGTGTTGTGGCCTATTATTTATCGAGCTTAATGAGGCGCATACTCCAATCCGTAGATTGCGGGCAGGCTAGTGTAAGGGTGCGGCATGATGGCTGTCATTTATTTACTTGGGGTGAGCTTTTCATCTAAAGCTAAAGGTATCCACTTCCATGCTCGAAAGAACCGAAAAACATATTCTGCCTTATCCTGGGTTTCGCCTGAAAAAATATTCACCCGAAAATTTGTCATCCGCCCATAGTAAATACATGGAAACCAAAAGTGAAAAGTTTACCCGTTCGGGGAAAATGAAACTCATGATAAGGCTGATTTTAAATTTTTTAAAATTCATTAGATACATGATGTTTTCAGGTAAAACAAATAGAAAAAAAATACTTTTGAAGGTTATTTTTTATGGTCAAAGTAACTTTTTTTATTCAATAAGACCTGTAAAATAACATAAAAAGTATAATTTTGAAATATTCTTTTTGACAAAAGTGTCAGTGCAAAAATATTATTATTACTAGCAGACCCGAGTGTGCTGTAAATTATTACAGGTTCCATTTACAGTTGCCGGATTTGAGTGCTGCATGATGAAATTTTAATTTAAAAATATAAAATAATCTGCCTTATCCTGAGTTTCGCCCAAAGAAAAATTCACCCGAAAATTTGTGTTCCGCCCATATTAAATACATGGAAACCAGAAGTGAAAAGTGAACTGGTTCGGGGAAAATGAAACTCATGTTAAGGCTGAATAAGAATATTTTGTGTGTACATTTCTTTTGCGAATATGATCCGATTGCTTCGAAGATAGTTTGAATTTTTCGCCATTGTACTTTCAGTGTTCGTAACACATTCGTCAGTCAGAATTTGAAACAATGCCTCACGCAATCGCAATTAACAAAGATTGACGATTAGCAGTGCAAATCAAAAACCTCAGCAACGCGCCCAAGTTAATGCGTCGCGAATTCATGCAAGACGTCTTCAGGAGGAACAACCAACCACCTTAACAACTGAAACAAATTTATTTCGTTGGCAGTGTTGTGCGATTAACTGTGCTATGAAACGCCAGATCATTGGAAAGTTGCTAGAACCCCGTCACGAATACAACGCTTTGGTTAGGTTATTTAACACGTTCGCTACCAGGCGTCACATATATGTGTCAGCTGGGGTTTCACGTGGGACCGCTGACACAAATGTGTGATGCCGATCTAACTTAATTAAATTATACCAGCATTCACCGCCATCTGCGATAGCGGGTTGTTGCATACAGTATGGTCTATAGGTCTATAGGTCTGGCACACGTTTGTGACAAGCGGTCTCGGGATTATAGCTACCTGTAAAGTATGAGGTTATGTTTATTTACAGTGCACGTGTGAAAGTCTTTACCGACTTTAAGAGAGAAAATATTAGCTTCATAGTGAAATAAATACTCAGAGGACGGTAAGTATTTATATATATTTGGGCTTGTTTGAACATAATAAATTTGAATATAAAGGCCAAGTATTTAGCCATGTTTCAGAGAATTTCACGCCGAAAATAAGCCATAATGCTACTGAATTTTCACCTAGACTTAATTTTATGTAAGCTTTGTATTTTTGAATAAAACTGAGTTAGATAAATCGCTGAAGTTTCGCCTATCACATAAATGCGATCCTTGTCTATACCGAAAAATATCTCTATGTACCAGCGTCACAAATATGTGTCAGGCTTAAAACAATTACTTTTATTATGGATTTGAGTTTCTGAGATACTAAATGACAACCAAAACCCACAACGCTAGGTAGCGAACGTGTTAAAATGGCAATGGAAGATATGCCTTCTGACGACCACAAAACCATAATCAGAGCAGATGTGCCACTGGATGTTATTAAGTGAATAGTTTGTGAAAGTGCTGTACCGAAATGTTCCAACAAAAAATTAACTTTGGCCGAGACGAAGTTCGCGGGTACGCAAATTTTCTTATTTTTATTTTTTTATTATTTTTTATCCTTTTTTATTTTAGTTTATTAAATTAAGTTAAATTAAATTAATTTGAATTAAATTTAACTTAAATTAAATTAATTTAACTTAATTTTATTTTGTTATATTTTATTTTTATGTTGGTGTTGGTTGATTTTTCCGACAGGTTGGTAAGATGATTTATTTATTTTTTTTATTTTACTTGATTTTATGTTATTTTATCATTGTGTTTCCCTTAATTTATTACATAATAATTTTTTCTTAATTTATTTTATTTTATTTTAATTAAAAAAGGCCCTAACCAGCAACTTTTCTATTTCACAGAAGAAAAAAACATTATAAAAAGTAAATCAAAGACTTTTTAAAAAGTGGCATTTCTCTCTTTATTTTTGACACTAACACTTTAAAATTTTTAGAGAAGGTATATTGTAATATATCCTACCAAAATCTGTGAAAAACGCAATTTCGAAAAAAAATGTTGGTTAGGGCTTTTGTGAATTAAGTTAACGGTATGCAGTGTAATAAGGATCCTCACACACATACATTTAGAATGTAAGTAAAGAAGCCTAAAAGTATACTACAAATGTATTTATTTTCGAATTGAATCTTTCAGAGTTTCTAAACTAAATATTCGCTTGAGTGATATAACCTTTCCAAGAGAAAACATTTTACTTTCAAATGAATTATAAATTTTTTTTTTAAGGATTTATCTTGAAGAAAATATGTACATGGCGAGTAGAGTGAAAAATCGCTAATGCAGCAAAACTGATTCCGGATTCAGATTCAACGCATCAAAAACCTTTGGAAAAGTATAAGGTGATCCCAGGGTCTGAAAAATATCAGCGCGTGTTATTGTAGTGAATGTTTAAAAACCGCATGAAACTAGAAATCGCTTGTTGCTTTGAAATGATACTATGGGAATCAGTGAAAAAGTAGAAATCGACCCTTAAATCCACTTTAAGTTTTTCTGCGGCAAATATAAAATTTGTTTGTACTTCTAACAGCGTAAATCTCGCAAATATTTTGGAATAGGGATGTTAGTTTCGTCAATTATTCGCCCGTAGCTAGGTTGAATTGTACTAGGACATTCGAGAAGTTTATTTTCATTGTTAAATAGTATTAATAATTTATATAACAACGTCAATGCACTTATTGCATTTGAATAGTTCAACACAGCATGCCATAATTTCACTTGTCAATAACCGTTGTTGGAAAAGTCCATTACATATAAGCAAATCATTTTAAATACTTTCAAAATTTGGCTGCTTGTTTTAATTCAGTTTTTTACATGAAAAGCCAAATTTTTATACATGTGTACGTACTAATATATTCTTCAAGCAAAATTTTCGCCAACTCACTCTTTTAAGCGCTGCTTATACACAGTAATTTATTTTCAATTTCAGCCTTTTTTTGGCTTAAAATAGCATAGTTCACTATTAAATATTCACCTTTTCAAATACGACGAACTACAAATTATCAGCCGTTAATTTTACCGTTTTTGTCTCTTTCGCCAACTCGTTAGCACAAATAATACCCGTTTCACACTTCCTTTGACACAAAACACCGCTTTATTTATTTTTTTACCGTTACGTTTGCGCTATCTCAATTCACGCTGCTGAATACCGTTCAGCGGTTAGTTAGTTGTTTCTTTGGCGCCACTTGTTGAGCGAATGCTTTGCGGCATCGGCATTTGCGCGCCTTTTATAAAGTGGCGAACGAAAGTGGAGGAAACTAAAAAAAAAAAAGCCAAAAAATATTTTTCATCAACAGCCTTTCACTGATAGGCGGCTAGGCTAACGACTACGGCGTCCTCGTCACCATCATTATCAACATATACTGTCGTCGTTAGCGTTAGATTCATCATCGTTGTCGTTGTCGTTTTCAGTTTTCCACTTCGTTTTCGTCCTCGTCATCGTTGCCACATTCGTTCGCTTGCTTAAAAACGGGGGTAACAAAGCCCACAGACCCGCATGCATACATTCAAATGGTCGACGCACAAGCGATAAGAAACTCAGTGTCAGCGTTGCGAGTACTGATAAGGCGTTCGTAAGGATTTTGTTTTTAAATTTTTTTCCATCGGTGTCAAATCGTTCATCCATTCCGACAATGTTGTGGTTCATTTTTTGCGGCGTTGGGTAGCTTTTGCAACAAAAGCTCGCATAGTAGAGCTTTTAGTTTTAATGAATGGAGCGTGCCTAAGTGCATATGTATGTACATATGTGTGTGTTTAACTCGTTTTTCATATGGTTGGCAGTTTTAAAGTTAAATTTTTAACGTTTATTGCTCTTAACTGTTAAGTGCTTACATTTCCGTTGTGTTGCTTTCTTTCAGATTTGTTTGGTGGGTGCGGAAAAAAAACAAAATTGAACAAAAAGAGCTCTCCGTAAAAGGCAAAAAATAGCTAAAGTTGGGAAGCATGTGAAAAAATGGGCATTGTGGGCTCTTGCAAATATTTTAAAGTTGCCAGCTGATAGAAGCAGTGGCGTAGCCAGGAGTGGGGTGCGGATCGCGGTTATAAATCCCGTCCTTGGTCAATAAGCTGCTATTTTTTACTTCGATTTAATAACGCAACACCCTTTTAGCCTTCTGATTTACCATTCATTTTTTCAGACAGAAGGCCTTTCAGAAGGGTTTTTGGAGGGCGAAAAGAAGATGCTTCTTTCATTCATAAAAACGATACCTTCTAAGGTGCTTAATTAATCCCAGTTTAAAAAGCATATTGAAATTCATCTTGATTTTCTATTGAAATGAGCTGATGACTTAAAGTACTTCAGGAAGAGATGCTAGCAATCTCGACCTGTGCCAGAATTAATCACGATAAGGCGGCATTAGTTATGCTTATCGTCAGTAAGTATTGTGATATTCTTCAACTCTTGGCAACGGGAAATACGGCTCGCACAATTTTCCGAATTCAGTTGGTCTTCTTCGAGACTTAACATTACCGGGATTGTAAACTCAGAACGCAGTCAGTATTGGGGAGTGATAGGGAGTCTGTAAGCTTGGAATTGGTTCCTCAAGTCTTGGTCCATAGTCTTAATTTGCGCACTGGTCCGCCGCTTCATTCCACGAAATGCGTCAGAGATTGCAAGCAAATTTGATATTCTTAAATACAAAAGGGAGTTATCACTCTAAATCAGGTTGACCTAATGTTAACAATGAAGGTGAGTGTCTGTTAGGATCGGAGAACAGAAGATAACTTCACAGATTTTGTCAAAGTTGACCTCCGTCACCTAATTATTATAGTTTCTATTTAGGACTACACTTCCCTTGGTTTTGCCAAAATTTGAAATACGTTTTGTTGTATCCATCCGGTGGCCGCTGTGGTGTAGTGGTTAGCAGTGCGCGCTACCACTCGCCAGGTCCTGATTTAAGCTCGGTTCAACTCAATATCGAAAAATTAAAAACAAACGTTTTTTTTTCTTTTTTGCCTTGGCAGGCAATGGCAAACCTCTGATCGTATTTCTGCCATGAAAAAAAGCTTCCATTAAAATAAAATCGCATTTGCGCCATAAATGAGGTTTGCTCACCGGGAATTCTTGGCATCAAGCCTTATCCATTCATACCAAAATATCGTTATTCAGATATAAGAGGTAGAGATAATTAGGGATAAAAGAAAAACCCGTTACGAAATAACACTGGCTTTACACTAACCTGTAAAATTTAGTCAACCTCAAGAACGAGGTTTTTCATTATCCCTATACGCGGTTTTGTACTTTAAACGACGATACATATGTATGTATGTAAGTTTTTATCACATTGGATTTTGAATAAAATTGATTTAAAACCCTTCTAAATATATTAAGTTAGTGGTATGTAATCCTTTTCAGCGCTGCATTAATAGAACTCAGAAAAAAATAAATAAATAAACCATTCCTAGATAGCGTGCAAATATTCTTCCTGGTATGAAAGTTCCTTCATTCACTTTGATTGGCTTTGTTGTTCAATGACATGACTTGCAATTTCTTCGAAACGGTGCAAGGCCTGCCTTTTCTTTTCCATGCTCAAGTTGTTTGATAATCGGATCAGTATACAAATAGTTAAGACTGACAATATGGCAAAAGCGAAGAACATAAACTGTAACGAGATTTTCGCAAATAGTGATATTGACTTACATATGACTTTTGGTTACCTTAAAGATTATATTGGGCCCTCGCTTTTGGTTTGGTTCAGAGCAATTTTCATCAGATATCATTCCTCTTTTGAAAAATCCTTCCTTCAATGTATTATTAAAAACCACATGTGTACACAAATATATATTCTAATTTGACGAGTAATTTCATGTTGTTTTTTTTCACAATCTTTTCAAACTACTTTCACTCCTTGACAACAAAATAGCAAGTAATAAGCAATGGTAATAAGTAGCTGGGGCGAAATTCTGTAACCAGTAAGCGACAATTTTCGAATCGCTATCGCACTTTTTGACGCAAAAACATTCATATCATGCGTCGCTAACTGGGGAGAGATTCTGTAACCCCTCTGTTTTCTAAAATTCCATACTCCCACGCAAAATGATGCTTGTTGGAAGCAGGAGAAAAGGGGAAGAGTTCAATCACACTTCCTAAATATGTAAATAAATATTTTTAGCTATATATATGTACATACATATATATAAAAATAAAAAAAAATACATGTCTGCAGGGCCGTAGCCAGGATTTTTTTTCGGGGGGTGCGGGGGATTTTGGGTTCTGGCAAAATATTTTTTTTATTTTCACTTTTATTTCAACATATTTTGATTAAAAGAAAAAATCTGATGAAAATTAAATACTTCACGCAAACAACAAAAAATATAATCGATAATCGCATGAGGCTATTGCCTGAAAATTTTAAAATGCACCTAGTGGCATTGTTCTACTATGATAGCTCGGCCCAGTAATCATAGTCAACTTGTGTACAGTGGACTGCATCACTCCATATACAAAATAAAATCGGTACTGTTTTTCCGCTGAAATTATAAAATCTATTATATTTTAAGATTTCCACCAAAATATCTCGCAAAAATATTAAGATTTACGTAAGCTGGACCGATTTGAAAATACCTCCAAAAATTGAGTTGTTTATTAATAAAAAGTTGTTTTTTTTTAAATATTTTTTGAAAAAATTACCTCAGATGACTAAACAGTTTAAGCTTAAAAAGTTTGCATAAAAATATTTAAAAAAATTTTCTACGGAATTATAATAATGAGATTTTTGATGCTGTTTTTGAAATTTTTTCAAAGACTGGTTTAAGAAAAACTAAGGAATAACTCAGCCAAAACCTTACCAATTTAGACTTGTGAGGTATCATTGATAAGGTATTTTCTCACCCTATTAATTTCTTTGCGAATAAGCTCATTGAAAGTATGAAAGAGGAAGTTAAGATAAACGCGTATCATTCTATGTTGAATTAAGATGTGTTGGTATTTGATAAAGAAAAAATTTGGGACGTGGCCGACTTTTTTTTGCAAGGGAAATTGAAAGGATGAGAAAATACCTTTCCACTGATACCTCATAAGTCTATATCGGTGAAGATTTGGAGCAGTTATTCAAAGATTATCAAAAATCAATGCCAGCTCTTGGCATTTCGTGATACCCATATTTTAGTAATCCATTTAACATATTTATTAAATAATTTTAATTTAATTTATTTTTTAAATAGGTGGCAACCATTTCAAACCTCAAAATACACTAGATGCCCAACCAAAAGATTTCTTACTACACACCTATATTTTAATGCAGAATGCATATATCATTTAACTTGTGCATAATTAAATTGCATTCGCCTTTAAAACAGATGGCAACACCGTTCAAAATATTTTCTAACTACAACCTTCCTAAACCTTCTGACACCCATATTGTGAAACATATTTCAATTACATAATTTCCCTAATTCAACTTGAATTTTTAAATAGTTGGCCACCCTCCTAAATGTACTCTAGATATTTTCTCATCTTCAAAACTATTTCGATTACAATAAAATAATAATTCATATAATTCATTATATTATTTGAACTTAACTTTTTAAATAGGTGGCAACCCTCTTCCAAGTTTTTTACTTCGCAGCATTCTTGAACCTGCTTCATCTGACATCCATGTTGTTATACATATGTTTCAATTACTTAATTCGCTTAAATCAAGTTGGATTTGTTTTTTAGACAGGTGGCAGCTCTCTATGTAGCTCAGAAATGAAGCCTTTTCAAACATATTTCCGTTGATACTCATAGTGTAGTAATTCATTTATTTTTATTGAATTTAATTTTTTAACTGGTGACAATTCTTTGTTTGTTCAATCCTGATATAGAACTTCTCCTCGCCGAACTCGGAACTATGCTTGTTTACACAATGGGACCACAACAAATAGCTGCTATCGATGGCAAATGTTAAGCAACTTTATTTTATTCTGATATTTTTAATTCTAATTCTAATTGAAATTATTTTAATACTAACCCTTCAATAGAGCTGGGCTTTAAAGCGAAAAAAAAACTCGGAGAACTCTGTGTAGAAATATAGCTTTTATGTTTTTTTTCTTTTAAGTTACCGCAGAAAACTCGTTCACACCGCCCCTTTCACGAAGTCCTCGCTATGCCACTGTATAGAAGTTATAAATTATGTGGTTGGACATGTGTTTAATTGAACACAAAAGGTGTTTGCCGTTTGAAGTGCGTACACGCTTTAGGGCGTAA